GTCTGAAACCCCGTTTTGTGGCGAACGGCTCGGAGAGGTCTTTCCCAATTCTGACGGAGCTGGTGGTATTGCTCAACGTCATTTTACACAGCCGTATGAGTTACTCACATATGTACATACACTTCAGCTTCCAACTCCAAGGGATCCGACGAATCTCGCAATTCCCTCCTTGCTTTAGCCAACTCTACTAATCTATTAGCTTCCACATCATCTTCCTCATCACTAAACCATATTTCAACTGTGTCCATTTTTTAAATTTTATAATAAAATCAATTATTTTAAAAATGATGTAAATAAAACACTAAAGAACCAAATATAAACAAACAAACAGCTGTTTACAATTCTGTCAACCATTCATAATAGTACAAATTTTTATCGATCAAGTTACACAATAGCAAAATAAAAGATGATCGACTCGATCGACAAATTTCTATTCTACTGCCAGTCGACACTCGCAATAGGGTTATTTGTTTTCGCACAATGTATTAACAACGTTTTGTTAACTATTTGTTAATTATTTAATAAAGACACTTCGCATAATGCTATGTCCTCCTACATACATAAATATCGCTACACAACTCTCATTATAAGATGCAANATGTATTAATCATTTGTCGGAACCGGAAGAATCCGACGACTATAACATATAGCTCCCATACAACTGATTGTTCAGATATGAGATTTTTTGTTATAACTTCTCCATTTATACAGCTGATGCAACTGATTGTTCAGATATGGGGTTTTACTGTAAAACTCCTATATTTGGACAGCTAAAACCGATTTTATAAAAAATAATACAAAGCCTACTGAGAAAATAGTCAAAATCTATGCTGTATAAGCTTTATCTCCTGTACCATTGATTGTTCAGATACCAGGTTTGGAGGTATATCTCCTTTATGTAGGAAGCTAATCCCATTAAATTGTGTTACCGCTTTACATACCATTCACACAGCAGTGAAACNGTTTGGAGGTATATCTCCTTTATGTAGGAAGCTAAACCCATTAAATTGTGTTACCGCTTTACATACCATTCACACAGCAGTGAAACTCCCTTATATTGGTTCCATATAAGGTATATCTTCCATATCTCTGATTGTTGCGATATGATTTTTTATATATGTTTCTCCTCTATTTATGTATTTTGTGAATATATAAAATTATAAATGCAGTAATCTGTTTAAGTAAAATTTTGAGATGTTCATGAAAGGTATGAAGCCTTCGCCATAGCCGGAGACAACGCTGCTCTTACTTGTTTTCAATTAAAGTTGGTGGTCGCCGAGCAGCATTTAAAATACCAAATACTTCCTGGGGTACTACGTCCCACGAAAGCGTACAAAAGAAATTGTTTCATACTAGAATTTATCATACTCGTTCGTTCGAGTTTTTTTATGTTTTCATAAACATCTATGAACAAAATAGCAGAAGACAACGTCGCACGTTTTCGTAAAAAAAAACAGTTACAGAATTCAAAAACAAGCAACTAAACGGATCGGGGATGACCCAGAAATCAATATTCTTATAATAATTTCACACACATTTCTAACAAGTCTGNAGTTTTTTTATGTTTTCATAAACATCTATGAACAAAATAGCAGAAGACAACGTCGCACGTTTTCGTAAAAAAAAAACAGTTACAGAATTCAAAAACAAGCAACTAAACGGAACGGGGATGACTCAGAAATCAATATTCTTATAATAATTTCACACACATTTCTAACAAGTCTGCTTGGGATACAGTGAAGGTTTTCATAAAAACCGCTTGGCACTCAATGCGATGATACGATGGGAAAAATAAATATTACAAAATAACAATCAGACTGGATCAAACAAATTAAAATCATGAAAATAACGGTTGAACCTGATCGGAAAAATATAAATCTAATTTTAACGGTCTACCCGTAGATTGCTACTAACAAAAGTTAGGAATTAAACCGTTTAGAACATTTTGGTTCCATGTGTACATTTCAAGCCAAACTATTTCGTTTTCTATGTATGAAACTCATATTGAGTTTCTGGTTGAATTTAAATAAGTAAATCAAGTAAATTTATACCATATTTCAATAATTTCACGCACACTGAATTTGAATTTTGCATACTGTATAAGTTTTTACTGCGTTACGTTCCCACGACAGTAGGGTCTACATACCCAGAACCACCCAGATTTAAAACTAACCAAGTATTACTCACCAAAAGTATTTGGGTACATTTATGTATATGATGTTACAGCACAACCACAATCTATCACGGGATTCCCGGAATGCTTTGACTAAACTCGATCCACAATGTAGATGGAATGGCATAAATGCAAAGCAGTAGTTGAAGCTTTTTCCACAGGAAGGAACGGATTTGTCAAGATTCTTTGGCTCTTTTGGAAAAAGCGCACAACACTCGAGCAAAAAATTAGCACAAAAACAATAATAATAATAGATTGGCGCTTACACATATGTTAGTGTTTGGCCGAGCTTCTCCTCCGATTTGTGGCGTGCGCCTTGATGTTGTCACACAAAGAGGAGGGATGTACAGTTTTACGCCGACTCCAAACGGTGATTGTATTTTTATGAGAAGCTGTTTTTCATGGCAGAAATAACTCAGAGGTTTGCCATTCCCTGCCGAGGCTCGACCGCCGTTAAGAAAAACCTTAAGCTTATGATAATCCATAACTGAGGCTAGTTTATCGTCAAATGCATATCTCAAACTATAGGAATGCATTTACAATAATTTGGCCTCAGGAATATTTCTGCAAATTATATTATTTTTAGTTACTGAATTGAAACATCATGAGCATTCACATATAAATACTACAAATAAATTGCCGAATTTTCAATAGGCATTGAAACAATAAACAATTTATGACATCTTAAAATGCTATATGAAAACGGTATTATTAAATAAGGCCTGGGTATTTTTCAATGCCATTCAAACTTTTGTCATTTAATACCCGTTAAAAATTGGGAATAAATGAATATATAAAAACCAAAACAAGCGACACAAAATCAAAGCGAACAAACAGAAGGGAATTTCAATACAACTCTGAAACATATAAAAAGCGAAGTGATCTAAATTGGCTAATTTGTGTAAAGCTAATTTAAATATTTAGAAGAGGTTCATACTCGTACCTTTGAGCAAATAGAGTTCATGAAATCATCCTGAAACACAATTTTGACATGGAGCAATATTGTTTGTTTATCACGAAACGAATTTAACATGGAAATAAAATAAGAAATGTAAGCGGGTTCTGTAGGTTAATAATTTATGATGATTTAAATGTTTATATTTATTTATGTATTATGAAAGGATTAAGAAAGCCAAATTGTTTAAATGTATGGTTGAACGAAAAGGATGCAAGTAACGGAAGTAGATTAAAATAAAATTATATCAAACACGTCGCTGTTNTGTATTATGAAAGGATTAAGAAAGCCAAATTGTTTAAATGTATGGTTGAATGAAAAGGATGCAAGTAACGGAAGTAGATTAAAATAAAATTATATCAAACACGTCGCTGTCCTATTATAAACAAATGTAAGCACAGATTTTTACTAAATGCTGTTTGCTACTCATACACTGGTATACATCTTTTCTTCTATCTTACATTTAGTTGCAGACTACAATTAAGTAGCAATCGAGCCATAACACGCTGCATAAAAAGCAAGCGCATTCTTTTACGCGTCGGCTTAGCTGTAAATTTATTGATAATAACTGCAATACAGTTTATACATACCGATGGAGATTTCGGTAATCCTACACGCTGACCACAGGTGGTCAACAAATTCACCAGACACTCGCGCACTCTTCCCTGGGACATCCATGGACGCTTCCAGCCACTGAGTGAGGCCGAGTCGGCTGGTGATAGGCTTGCGCTTCGCCGTGGTGAATTCGGAGTGCCAATGACGCCGTTGTTATTATGCTGCAAGTGCGTCCCAGCGGATGTAGTATTATAATTACCCTGATCTGTGCCACCCATACCACCAGCGTTACGAGATTGGGCGCCAACAGCAGAAGCCACACTCCCCACAACGTTATTTAAAACTGTTGCGCTGCTGGCGGTTGTCACTGTGGTGTTCGTTGAGGCATTCGATGAATTTGTGCCGCCAATTATAGTGGGATTATCATCGGTCTTTAGCAGAATGCGACGTCCGATGAGTGGTGTCTGCGAGACGTCGAAGGTGAACTCCATTGTGCGACCAGCAAGTTCCTTTTTACAGAACATATCCGAATCCGGATATGTGCCATAGAAGGAGAACGATAAACCGGCGCTACAACCTTCACTTGGCGGCACCACTTGAAGCGACGAGCTACGCGTGACAATTAATTTGAGTATCTTCAATGCATCCTTCCAATTGACCGTCTGTAAAAAGCATAAAAAGTTGTTCAATCGTTTACATATAAACTGGAATAGGATCCCCTCACTCACATCCAAATATTTGCCGATAGCGCGCAACAAATCACTATTAATCGTCTGTGCTTGTGGTGCGGATAAATCCACATAGTGCAGCATACAATGTATCACATTCAAAACGGGCACCTGTATTTGTTGTGGACCCTTCTCCAGCACCTCAATCAGGAAGGCTAACATATGCAGTCCCATATGTGCGTAGGTATCATGAAGATATTTCACTACACATTTAGTCCACTGGAAAGACTCCTTGCAAAATGTCTTTCGGCTGTAGAGTGTCATCACAGTGCCAAGATTTTCCAACTTGGCGCCCAATTCTGATGACACCTGTGCAATATTCTCCGCACTGCGTATACAAATCTCATTTGCATCCTCGTAGTGCAGCAGCATGTATGGTAGCAAAGAGATGACATTCATTGGGAATGCGCAGCTCTGTGTAGGATCACAAACAGGCAAGTTGAGCATCGGAGCGAATTGTGAAAGCAGTGTAATGGTGGGTTCATACGTTGAAGTGTGAGTGCAGCCCTGTAATAGAAAATAAAATGAATTTATTTATTTACTTGGACGTAACACTTATCTAGAACTTGCATTCAAGTTCCACATTCGCACTTCCCAGCAGTATTTCAGGTAAGGGTATGCAAATTCACTACAATATTCAGTACGAAAACTGCCATGAAACTCAGTTCAGAAATTAATGCCTGAAAAATTTACCGAAGAAGATGTGAAGCTTTCAGTGCTACTGAAGTTTGTTTCAGAACGCGTAGCGAAGATTGCAGGTCTAATGAACTTTTCACATATGTTTTGAAAAGGCTATTATAGGCCTTTAAAATTATGTAAATTAATATATTGTTAGACTTACATAGCTTGTTGGGAGTTTCCGTTAAGTTAGGCTAAAAAATTAATATTTTTCATTATTTTTCAAGTTTGACCATCGCTATTTACAAACATTTCTATGAAAGTTGCAAAATACGTAGTATTTATCTCAAAATACATATCTTTTCGAATAAATTGATACCTCACCTAACATGAGGCGATTTTACGGGCAACTTTTAGTTGAAAGCAACAATCGCCTGGTGTGAACGGCCTTATAACAAATCGCTTCCAATGAAGTTGGAGGACCGTCAACTTTTGATTCAACTAACTGCCTCTAAAATTGCCTGTAAAACCGCCACATGTAAACACCGTATAAGCAACTCAAGTAGTAGCAGTGCGGCTAATATTTACTCAAAATTCCTGTATACAATGGCTCTTTACCGAAAAATTGTTTTTTCATAAAATTGTACGAAAGTGGGGATGGCACCGCCCAGTTATATCATATACATATGTGTATCTCAAAAACTATTTTACCGATTTCGACCAAATTCGATATACACATTGCGTGTCATGAAAATTTTTAATCGAAACGGTAATTTAAAAAAACTCAAAGCTAGCTATATTTTCAAGACAGTACTTAAGGTGGCTAAGCGTATGTGTATATTAAATTTTGTCAAAATCGGTGAAATAGTTTGCCAATAGCGATGGCCAAAGTTGAAAAACTTAAGACAAGTATGGGGTTAAATTTTAAGCTCGCTATACAGTTCAACGTGAACGTGAACTTTTTATTTTGACCCATATTTTCGTTATTACTACACTTTTTGCAGTAGTTTATATGTATATTAATAGATAGAGAATTAAATATATTTCAGAATTATGAAATTAAAANGTAAACACCGTATAAGCAACTCAAGTAGTAGCAGTGCGGCTAATATTTACTCAAAATTCCTGTATACAATGGCTCTTTACCGAAAAATTGTTTTTTCATAAAATTGTACGAAAGTGGGGATGGCACCGCCCAGTTATATCATATACATATGTGTATCTCAAAAACTATTTTACCGATTTCGACCAAATTCGATATACACATTGCGTGTCATGAAAATTTTTAATCGAAACGGTAATTTAAAAAAACTCAAAGCTAGCTATATTTTCAAGACAGTACTTAAGGTGGCTAAGCGTATGTGTATATTAAATTTTGTCAAAATCGGTGAAATAGTTTGCCAATAGCGATGGCCAAAGTTGAAAAACTTAAGACAAGTATGGGGTTAAATTTTAAGCTCGCTATATAGTTCAACGTGAACGTGAACTTTTTATTTTGACCAATATTTTCGTTATTACTTCACTTTTTGCAGTAGTTTATATGTATATTAAAAGATAGAGAATTAAATATATTTCAGAATTATGAAATTAAAAGTAATCTTACTAATATTATAAATGTGAAAGTTTGTATGTTTGGATGTTTGGGAAATCATCACGCGGAAACGACTGAACGGATTTGCATGAAATTTGGTACGCAGATAGCTTATAGGCCAGATTGGTTAATAGGCTACTTTTTTTGCCACCTGTTAAAAAAGTTTAATTTATTTAATATGCGGGAACAACTGAATAGATTTGGATGAAAATTTGCACACAGATAGCTTATGACCTAGATTGGAAAATAGGCTAATTTTCGTAAGAGTTGCCATCTGTTAAAAAAATTCCTTTAAATTAATACGCGGAAACGACTGAATGGATTTGCATGAAATTTTGCAAACAGATAGCTTATGATCTACAGTGGAAAATAGGCTAATTTTTTGGAAGAGTTGCCACCTGTTAAAAAAGTTTAATCAAATTAATACGCTGAAACGACTAAACAGATTTGCATGAAATTTTGCTCACAGATAGCTTATCATCTAGGTTAGAAAGTAGGCTACTTTTTTAAGAGTTGCCACCTGTTAGAAATGTTTAATTTAATTAATACGTGGAAATGAGTGAATTGATTTGCATGGAGGTTCTCACACAGATAGCTTATGAGGTATGTTGAAAAACTGGCTAATTTTTTTAAGAGTTACCACCTGCTAAAAAAGTTTTATTAAATTAATACGCGGAACATTCTCAACGGATTTGCATGAAATTTTTCAAGCAGATAGCTTATGACCTACAGTGGAAAATAGGCTAATTTTTTGGGAGAGTTGCCACCTGTTAAACAAGTTTTAATTAAATTAATACGCGGAAAGGACTGAACAGATTTGCATGACATTTCGCGCGGAGATAGCTTATGACCTATGTTGGGAAATAGGCTACTTTTTTAAGAGCTGTCACGTATTAGAAAAGTTTAATTAAATTAATACGCGTAAATGACTGAACTGATTTGCATGAAAGTTTGCACACAGTAGGCTACGTTTTTAAGAATTGCCACCTGTTTGAAATTGAAATTTTGCGAATGCGAATATTCGCAGCAACCCTGGTATGTAGTACTAGGTTTAAGCATAAAAAGATACATCAAGCTAGGTGGCTGTCTCCAGATCGAAAAACGAGAAATCAAATCGATCGTGTTGTGATAGACGGAAGGCATGCTTCCAGCGTTTTGGACGTACTTACACTCCGAGGGCCATATGAACCCCAAAAAATTATTTCATGTGGTAGCCATACTTTTGTTTTCCATTGCACTTATTTTTTTTAATAAAGTTTGGAATTAACCATGNACCCGCCTCTGTGCAGCAAAAAATGTGCGCCCAAATATGCAACCAGAATGGGTATCAAATGAAGGAGAAGTTCTGTAGAGTTAAAACCCATTACATTTTTTGGTGCGTAAGGGAGGGTAGGTATTGAAAATACCCTTTTATAATTATATCCTCGAATATCCTTGACATTTTTCAAATCTTATTTTTGAAAAAATTGTGTGTTTAGAACTAACTTTATTAGCATTTTCAATTCCTATTCGTCCCTATGAACCCCAAAAAATTATTTCATGTGGTAGCCATACTTTTGTTTTCCATTGCACTTATTTTTTTTAATAAAGTTTGGAATTAACCATATCCTTGAAATTATAACGAGCCCTAACCGCCAAAATAACGTAAGTGACATTTTTTTCAAAATTTTTGTTTTTATGCAGAAATGCATCTAGATGTCCTAGGAATATTTCTGCATCAAAAAGAAAATTTCGAAAAAAATGTCGCTTACGTGATTTTGGCGGTTACGGCTCGATAAAAAGAAATGCCCATTTATATGAAGTTAATTATGTGTAATATGAGGTAGACTTTTATAAAAAAATTTAAATTTTGGATAAACAAAAGGAATATAGACAAAACTGGTCGAATTAAGGCGCTTCTTTTATTTCTGCCACCAGTATAATGAACTTCTTTCAACCAGCAAATACATTTTTTTATTTATTTTTTTTTTGCAGCGAGCTTTTTTCTATATACCTTAAATTATTTTATCAGATATGTACACATTAAAGTATTATTAAATGCATATAAATTTAATTACTGTCTTTCGTTTTG